GCAGAGAGGAGCACTGAGCGGACTGACCAGGGAAATCTCCAGTCAGTCTGCCTGGTGGCATTAATTGTATTAATCGTCAAGTGCCAAAACATAATCGACTAATGTTTTTCTGACGATTAATTGCAGACGATACGATTATGCCCAACCCTACATCACATGGCCATCTTCCAATCTGTTCTGCCACTAGAAATGTTTTGAACTTTTTCCGCTCTCCCTTCCTCCTGCTTCGCAGAGGGCACTGTCATGTGCGTAGGCGACAGACACCCCCAACCCCCACGTGCGATTTGTACGGATTTTTAGCTAAATTTAAGGATTTCTGAGGCTTTTTATACATTTAAACGTCCAAAGAGGTTGACATGTATGTTTATGTAACAGACAGAAATCTTTACTGCCATCTACAGGACCTAACCCAACTAGTATACAATGCAAAATAAATAAATAAATGCAATGTTTTTAAAAAGTAAACACAAATCAATGTTTATTTCACTGTTTTTAAATATATACAGAAAAAATGTAAATTAAGTCATTTCAAATTCACAACAGTGTAATATTCAGAGTGATGAGAGAAAAATCCAGCCTCAAATGGGTTTAGTTTACACACTTTCTTGTAGGCATTTGGCCTTAGACTGTAATGGAAACTAACACTTTTCTACAACATTATCTTGGGTTTGTGTAGACAGGATCTTGTAYCAGAGGTGGAACATYTCCTGACATGGATTTGTTTTTGTTTTTCTGCAGTTCTAATTGCATAATGTACAAGAAAATTACAACAATGTGTTAAAACACTGGTGTGCAATCAATTCCTTTTCAAGTTTTCTTTACTTGAGTAACTTGGATCCTGAATAAACACCATGGAAAGCACTGACACAGCTAGTATACAATAGATTATTATGTACAAAGTATATCAGGTCATTGTGGCATTAAATGTCTGACGTTGTATTTGGACGTGTCATTGTACTGGGTCATAGGTTTGTCTGCGATACCACAAGTTCCAACTCCCAYCTTTCCGTTTACACTTTCTGGAGATRCAAATATGCTCCTTTTTACCTACAAAAATCAAACAAGAACAACTTTTGTAAGTGGTCAGACGTAGAAGACAATGTAAAACCTTAAGGCTTAGGAAAAATAGGCAAATTACCTGTCCTTTCTTGTTCTTTGAATAGGCTTTGTTGTTGAACTGTTGCCACTTCGACTTTTGGTCCTCCCTCTCCTGCTCCAACTCCTTCATCCTCTGGACCTTTTTCTGAGCTTTCTTCTTCTTATACTCTCGCTGCTCTGCTATCTGCTCTTTCCTGGAAAGTCACACAAAGGAAAAATAAAATACACTTGAAATTAGAACTCACAATAGTATGCCGTACTTTGTAGAAAACTGGACAAAAAAAAAAGACTACTGCAAATACAACGAGCCGATATAGTATTATAAATTTTCAAAAAGAACATGCAGAAACACTTRATAAAAACTGGTTTATAGGGTTTATAGAAGACAGAGGGTACAGCAAAACATGAACTCTGCTGCATCCTAAATAGAACTTTTACAACACACCAACTAGGGATGGGTGATATGTTATCGTGTGCGATATACCGTCAAAGACATTCACCATGGTAATAATTTGTCATCTCGTGATAAAAATGATAAATTCCCACCACGTGTCATCAGGCTTTACATGCCTCCCCGCCAGGTTAAGCTTTGTTTGTTTACTCAGAGTGGATGTGGACGCGTGGGGCTGGTGCTAAAGCTAAAAAGCTATCGTAATGACTCAACGTGCAAAAAACGCAGTCACGGTCATCTAAAAACTCTTAAGAGTTCAACATTATGTGAGAAAAACAACAGGATGGGGCAGCTTCAACTTGCTGGACCCACCAAAAAACAGCTCCTGTCTCCTCTGTCCCAGCCAGGCTGCTGCATGGCTCGTCTCTCCACTCACACAACTAGCCCCTCCCTCCCCTGAACATTAACCCTTAAGGGGCACAGAAATGATTGCTTTACCTCCCAGAGCAGCAAAACTCATTTTCAATGATTAGTAAAAAGTCTTTTCTTATGGTTTTATTATTTATTATATTAATGATAGTTTACAAGGATTAGAGTTCTTCTGAGATTTTACAAAAAATAATGACTAGTGCAAAGAGGATGTGATTTGAAGATTTATCATATCAACCATAGTCCATTATTACTAATCATGTTTGCTGTCAATAAATAAATAAATAAATAAATGTCAATTTTGTTCTCATATTTCAATCTTCTTTGATGGGTTTCAGTTTTGTAACACAGGTGTACTACTTGAACTTTTATAACTACCATTAATTTTACAGTATTTACTATGACCGTTTTTATTATTTAAGCTTGCACAATATTATTTTTTTGTTAATCGGTTTGTTTTTTTATTGTGTTTATTGTTCTATTGTGATTTTATTATTGACTTTTATAAGGTGATCTTGGGAGTTTTGAAAGGCGCCTATAAATAAAATGCATCATTATTAATGTAGTTTAGTGGCTTCTAGTATTTCAGGGCTCTTAAGAGAGAATGTAGCGATAGATTTATAATACAAAAAATTAGGCTGAGATATATATGTCGTCACTTATCATTATAGTGATAAAACCTACAACTTATTGTGTCAACAGTGAGCTCTTGGTCACTCAACGCTGTTGAGCTCGTTTTGGTGCTGATATTCACTGTTGTAGGTAGTGTTAGCATATTAACAGTGGTAGCGCTGAGCACTGGTGTTAAGTCAGTGGTGTACGTCATCATGTAGATCGAATTTCATTTTAAGTCAGATCACCGTTCTTGGAATGTTTTCTATTTATCAATAATGAATTACTGTCCAGCACGATCTAAACACGAATCAAACTTATGTCAATATAGTTATAAAATGTCACAATAAAGGGGTATTCTCAATTTAGAATCACCTAAAATCATCTGTAAATGTAGTAGTTATTGTAAATTTACTTTGTTCAGCAACTGAAAGCTTCAAGTGCCACAACATGCAAGATCAAACATGAACATTGCTTCAGTAATTTAAGCATTATAATAACATTGATGATATTTTGATATTGAGTGTGTGTTCATACTTCGATTTTGGCTTCATGCCTCCATCATCTTCGGATCGTTTCCCTTCCTCCACCACTTTGAGGTTCTGCAGAGGAATCACTTCGGCATTCCCGTATCCAGTGAAGGTAACAGCTGCCGTGCCATTCTCCCGGTCTATCTCCTCAATCTCGGCCTCATACACCCTGTCAAAAAATCACGTCTGTAAGCAGGTGAGTATGAGCTAAATACACAGGTTTTACTTAAGTGGCAAAACTCAGTACTATTAGAGCTATTACTGGCTAATCATTCACAAAACTATGGTAGAAGTTGACAATGTGTTTCATTAATTTATGTAATTTGTTTCAATAAGTTACACATGAAATATTTAGATAAGGACAAATGAATATGAGTAAAATGAACACATAATCTGCTTTAAGGGAAACTTCTAACAAACATGCTGTATGTAAAGAGTAAAATTTTCATATAACATAAAACATTATACAAATTTATTGTATTATTTTGAAGTATGAGTACGGCTATAAACCAAATTTTTAGAGGATGGAGACACTCACTGTCCATCCTTACTCCACATAGCCAAACACTTTTCTCCAATTTTCCAGTGGCGCTTCACAGGCACTGTGTCTGAACTACTAGCCGCAGACGCCCCGTCGACAGGCTGTGAAGTTATTAAATCTTTTGTCAGGTCGATGACTTCCTGCACAAAAAAAAAAAAGAAAAAAAAAATACAGGGAATTTCATCATAAGCTCTGGCATTTTTTTCTTACCTGCATGTTCAGAACAGAATATGCAATACCATACGTATCCATCTATGGCAGTACTTTCAAAAAGCCATGAAATTTAACAAAATAAAGCAACTATTAATGTTATTTTTTGTAAACACCATCTTATTGATCAGGGACACCAGAAAACTTTGGACCTCATTGGTTTTATTAATGTAGAAAACTCAAACTGCAGAGTTCACAAGGGAAAACAACTTCACTCAATTAAGTTTTTAACATAATGCTRCATAGCATATTCAGTGACAGCATTTATTTTTTTATTTATTTATTTATTTTAAACTTCTATTTAATTTGATGCGTTCCCAACTAAACTTGACATACAAACCTGCAAGTCCTTCTGGAGTTTGAGAAGGTCTTCGTTGTCCGGATCGGTAGATAATGCAACTTCTACTTGCTGCAGCTGGGCTTTGTAGCTGCTCAATTGTTTCGCCAGATCATCCGACATCTGAAAAACACAGACGGTTAGCCTGACTCAGACGAAAGGATTTCAAGCATTGGTAATCAAATCTAAAAACAATATAATATACAAATAAGTATTCGTTTTAATAACAGCGCACAATGCTGTCAAACACAACATTCATGTTAGCATTAGCCGCGTTAGCAGGAACCCTGGGCCTTGTTGTCGACATWACGATAAGCTTTATCGGTAGAGTTGATGTAACAAATCGAGTTTGTGGGTAATGTTACCTTGGTTTTGATGCTCTTGGCCGAATAACACAAAAAAAGTTATTTATATTTCGGCTCCAAAACTTCCCGAAATGGCAAATATATTTTAAAAATGCGTGCGCTCTTTCCTCYGTAATGCTAACAACTCCAAGTCTCGTTGAAAATATTCTCGCGATAGTACAGCGCCYCTATCGGACAGTTGTCGAATATGCATTCTGCACATATACAGTATTTCCTTTACTACTGAAGAAAGGAAGGTAGCCTAAAAGTATCTCCAGAATATTAAGATTTTACATGTACAATAAAGTGCATTTCTGTCTCAATACCTCATTACATACAAAAATACCTTTTAAAACAGTTTRCATGCTGCTGTGCAACTCCCGGCCAGCACAAATCGAGTATTGCTCTCTTATAAATCAGTCTGAAACGCATGCAGTTTTAAACAAAAAAGGCACATTCCTTGAATGAATATGGTCCGCCTTTCATTCCAGCTGATGGTTTTGTTTTCAGTGACAGGTTGTTGACTATGATAAAATTTTATAATAAAGTTGTGATTCATACCTAAGAGTTCACTGAATATTATTTATCACGCTAGAATCTACCAAAGAAATGTTGCAATCATTAGAATAATATGCAAAAATATGTGAAAGGAGAAGTAAGAAAAACAAAAGAAAACAATACAATCCTTGAACTTAAAAAGAAAAACATTCTATAATGATTTCAAGATTTATAATGAAAAAACATGTCTTTATGCCAAATCCTCATGCTCATATTTCTTTAATAAAAAAAAAAATGCAATTCACATTGACTTATTGAGAAAAGGGAACACTGATCTGTTTGAAATTTCAAGTTAATATACTCTGAGCTTGAGCCTTTTTGCTATTAACTACAAACTCTGTAAGAGACTTTCATCTTCTCTCCAAATGCAACTATGATTTCRGGCCATTTTTCAATCAAAGCATATTAGGACCTCGTGAACTAGAACTACAAGACCGTACAGACTGTTACACCGCTGTAATCTAATAGTCTACAGAAATTACTTCTATAAATCAACTAAAAAAATTAATGTCAGAAGCAGCCAATGGCTTGGCTGCCTAGAGGTACCAAGTCTCTTTTTTGAATCTCCAGCAACTAGACTCCACCCATTTTTGTTCTCACAGAAGTGGAGGCAGCATCACAGATCTCCAGCATCAAATCAAGCATTTCACTTCAGCTTCAGCAGATGAAAAGACCTGCCTGGGCCAGCCCTGCCTGCAAAATTATGTTTTAAACCATGTCTTTGAAAGGATTAAAATGTTTACGTCTACGTTTTGACTCTTTAAGGTAGGTGGATGAAGATGTTTATTTATATTGCTGTTAGCAGTTTTCTAAAAGAATGCATTTTATAGCCAAATGATGTGAGAAACCTAAAAGAATACCTTCATATGTTTGATGTAAAGAAACATTTCTTGCCTATTTTTTAAAGAAAAGTTTGTCTCCATTTTCTTACTTTCAGGCAAACAAAAGAGAACTTGCTGATTTCTTCGACAATCCTCCCATGTGAACAAAATGAAAACTGAATCTCTGACACTGCAGCCTTGAATGAATTTGTTTAACACTCAGACAGAGCACCAGTCAGAACGTGTAGCCAACGTAACATCTCACACTGATGGGTTGTTTCAATCTCACCAGCAGAAATGAGATTTTGTCTGGGCAGCAGCCTTTTACGGTGCAGACCTCTGTGATGCTTACAATCCTGGTGGGCATGCTCATCCTGCTAACTCTGTTCGGCAACGTCATGGTTGTAATCGCAGTGATCACAAGCCGAGCCCTGAAAGCACCCCAGAACTTGTTTCTAGTCTCCCTGGCGAGCGCGGACATCCTAGTTTCCACTCTGGTGATGCCGTTCTCTTTAGCGAACGAACTTATGGGCTACTGGTATTTTGGCAAAGTGTGGTGTGAGATCCACCTGGCTTTGGATGTCCTCTTCTGCACCTCATCCATCGTGCACCTGTGTGCCATAAGCCTGGACCGGTACTGGTCTGTGACCAAAGCGGTCGAGTACAACCTGAGACGGACGCCTCGCCGGATCAAGCGCACCATCTATTTGGTGTGGGTGCTGGCAGCCATCATTTCATTCCCTCCACTTATYACCATAAAAAAGAACGAGGGTAAAAAGGACAGCCCTGTGTGCAAGATTAACAAGGAGAAGTGGTACATTTTATTCTCCAGCACTGCCTCCTTTTTCGCACCCTGCGTCATTATGATCATGGTGTATGTCAGAATCTACCAGATCGCTAAGAAAATAACAAGAGCTTTGCCAGGTGAAAGGCAGAAAGACAACGGCAACGCAGAAGACCCCAAGCTTGGTTTGGAACCCCAGGAAAAATATAGCGAAAGAGACAAGGAGGAAGAGGGAGTTAAAGAGGTGAATGGGCTCGATGTGGAAGAGGACCCCTCCTCCTCAGATGGGAACGAAACCAGCTTGTGTTCTTTGAGGAAGAAGAGGAGCGCAAGAACAACCAAAGCGACTCAGGTGAACCCTGGAGAAACCTCTCCGAAGACAGAGGGTCCGTCCCCTGCGAAGGCGAGCAAGTGGAAAGGGAGGCAATACAGAGAGAGACGCTTCACCTTTGTCCTGGCTGTCGTCATGGGAGTGTTTGTCCTCTGCTGGTTCCCCTTTTTCTTCACCTACACGCTCACCGCCGTGTGTGACGCCTGCTGCATCCCAGAGACCCTGTTCAAAATGTTCTTCTGGTTCGGCTACTGCAATAGCTCGCTCAACCCTGTAATATACACCATATTCAACAGAGACTTCAGGAAGTCTTTTAAGAAAATCCTCTGCAAAAATCACAGAGGAGSTTTGTGAGTAACACTTTCCCGGCTACATTCGGCTTGTCAATCATTCAGTGTTTGGTTTCTTTTTTTTTAAAAAAAGTGTACAAAACTGCAGAACCTGTGAGTTAAGATCGTGCAACTGTGAAATAGAGAATGACACAATTTATGGAAAAAAAAGTGCCACTTTTGTGGCCGTCTACAGTATTTAAAWTCAGATTCCTATATGTTTAATGCTTTTAAATGAGTGACAGGCAGAGGAATGCTGCAAAAGAGTCAACATGAACCTTAAACTACACATTTTAATTGTTAAATAAATTATTTTCTGATAGAATAACATATTTACTTGTCTTAAAGTTTCCACATGTCATGCAAAACTCATGAAACGTCAAAGGTTTGTAAATAAGCTTGGCCAGAGAGAGAGAGATCATTACAGAAAACCTGGGTAACGACAGCAGCAGCAATCATTGAGAAAAGGAAATTAAATGTCAAAGTGATGCATGAAGGAAGCTAAGGAGGCCTGTCACAATTATAACATAATTACTGTATTGTGATTATTTGGCCAACAACTAACGATTTTTGCAYAACTGCTGCATCATTTTCACATTACCTGAATGAAAACAGAAATAAAGAAACATCACATTATTGACATTATTTTTCAAGTTTGGATGCCACATATTAAATAATGAATACCTCTTTTTTTTTCATTGCTACGCATAAAAAGGGGAATTAAAAGGATTTCTTCTATGAAACAGACTGGAGTTTTATTAGGTTTCTGCAGACGTAATTGGTTGTGCCTAACATGATAATGGCCTGTTTGAATCACAACTTGCAGTATTTGTTCAATGTTCAATAAATGTATTTTCTTCTTTGTAAAAATGTGTATTTCTTTAACAAGTATAGCACATTGGCAAAGAATAAAAAGAAGAAAAAAAAACAAAGGCAAATTATGGATTGCAATAACATTTTTTGAGATGGTTTCACAAACATTTGCTTGATCCCCTGAAAGCAATCAGCACCAAAAATGGATGCTGTCCTCTTCCCACTAACTATCTCGCTCTCTCATAACAGGCACAAGAACAAGACAATTACGAGAAAAGAAAATTATGCCTGGGAGCCTCGGACGGCACAGCAATATTGAACACAGTTTATCATGAATTATAGCCCTTCATATCAGGGTATCATTAAACCCTCCCCTGGAGTCAAACAGAAGTCATGCAGAGTTAGAAATATGAGTGGCTGTTGCAGATGACACTCTGAGGTTAATATCTACAAACTTATCAGCGTTCTCTGCTCCTGTCTTCTTCTTTTTTTTTCTCAGTACACGTTTCATTCATTGAACACATTATATTATACCATCAATCAAGAGAAAGCTCAAAAGTAAAGGTGAATGCACAGTCTTAGCAAACATTTTAAATTTTATATCATTACTAATAATAGAGGAACTCCCATGAATCAGTCTCTGGGACTGTAGGATTTTTAGATTTCTCAGAGTCCTAAAATATAACATTTCTCACCACAAACGACAAACAAAAAGTCAGAGTGTTTCTGAAAGAATTCCCACAAAAATAATGAAATGAATAAAAACAAAATGCATTTGTGGGTTTGTGGTGAAGCATCATCAAGGACCGTGGATCTGGTTCTGCTTGAGTGCACAAACATCTCGTGATTTTGCCAGATTTCTGATTGGCCGGATGCAAAAATAGTTTGTAAAGAGAAGGACTTATCAAAGTGGTTTGTTTTAACAKCGAGACAAATATCTCAACCTCGCTTTGATTTATCACGCTCAAGTGTTTGTGTGAAAAATAAAACTGCTGTGATTCATGTTTAAAGCCAAGCGTTAAGGAATGAATGCACATCACCCACCTACTTCCATGCCAAGGTTGTACAATCACCTTTGTTTGAGAAATGACAGAAAAAAGTTACAAACATTTTTATCAAAACTTGAAAATAACTCACAAGATGAAACATTCCGACGCAGACCATGTGGGTAATGACTGTTACTTTCATATCAAATTTTAGTTACATCATTTTTTTATGTTAAAATTATAGCCATTTTACACTGGCTATCAGTTAGCTGTGTTGGCCTTCTCCAATTGGATCGGCTCCAGAAGTTAATCAGTAGATGCACGTCTAAAAATCATTTCCTGAAAGTTTTAATAAAATCTGTTCACGTGTTCTTTAAAATGTTTGCAAAAAAAAAAAAAAAAAAGACCAAGTTGACATAAACTCATTAATGGCAAAACAAAGCAAAGATTGTACAGAGGCGCTACTCAACTGGTGGCTCTCGGGCCACATCCGGCCCACTGCCAGGCCCACTAGTGAAGGCTTGGCCCACCATCTCCAAAAAATACTTTTGAAAAACATTTTTTTGCTTAATTTAATCTAAAAAATACATGTTGAATCTACTTTAAATTTTTTAAATTACGATTTAATGCAACAAAATAAAAACATTTAAAAGGTAAAACATATATCTWTTACATAATGCAGTATTTTACCCCTCCCTGCCCCACCATATTTCGACCCCCCCGACCCGTTGGCTTTGAGTAACTGTGGACCCCTGTGCAATTTAATTAAATAGCCCTGTTGTACAGTATATTTGGAATTTGTCTCCATCCTAACTTACTAAAGTTTTGGAAATATCTGCAAAATAATAAAACTGAGTTGTAGCAATTTTAAAACTTTTTTAAGTCAGGTGACTCTTGTGACCAGCTTTTATCAAGCTGACTCAAAAAACTAAGAGGTTGTACATTCAAAGATTACGTGCTGAGAGTTTCATTAAGGTTTGTCCAGTGGTTTATAAGATATTTTGCTAACAGAGACACATTGACACGCACAGATGCGAACAAACACTATAGTCTGCTTTTGCCTTGCGGTGATGGGGCAGTAGTTAAAAATAAAAACAACTTTTACAGCCTGAACAGCTGTACACACACATAAGTGTGGTCAAGCAAACGAAATATTAGTCTAAATGTTTTGTTACCCTCCTGCCTGAAAGGAGTGTTRTACAGTGGATGTGGCAGCATTTGCTGCTGGTTTAATGTGAACCATAAAATCGCTGACATGTGGCATTAATCAAGGCTTACGTTTTCAAATTTCCCTCCACATTCATGTGACTTATGTTTGGTTTTAAACCGTGTCAGACCGGCTAATCTCAGAGTACGTCCTGTACACACAAGTCCACTTCCAYAGTGATTGATTCCCTCCTGTAAACGCCACGAATCGTCACTGTTTACGATCAGGGACATGGCTTATTACATAACTATCCTTTGGAACATGTTCCCACAACGTTCACACAGTTCCCTAGACAGCCCTCTCCACTGTTCACCAATTTTCCAATTTTCACTACATACAACTCAATTATAGTTTTTTTTAAACCTTCTGGTCATTTTTAATGGGTGAACGTACCGATAGATAAAGAGCAGCTTTATTAGGCTGCATCTCAGACAAACAAGGCAGGATAAATGAGAGTCTGGCGGAGGCATTAGGGCCGCAGTAACAAGTTTAAAGAAGGGCAAGTGATGAATGGAGTGGTTTCCTTTTAATGTTAAGCCATTCATTATTTATTAAACATACAGTAACGCACCCTGCAAGCCGAGGCACATTAAACGTCCTCCATTTTGAATTGATGAGAGCAGGAGAAATTAAAATTAAATTGTGAGGGATGTAAGCAGCAGGAGGATGTATAYAGTTTTTCATTTACTTCTGTGTTACTTTGACTATACTGTTCAGCATATTGAATATTTTACCCACTGTTAAAAAGCTAGTAACATAAAATATCTAAGGCATTTATGCACATTTTACTTACCAAGCTAAAGCAAAATGTATGGATTTGGTTGTCCTAAACAATCAAGATCAATTTATTGATACATAATTAGTCATTTACACATTTTCCAAGCACTTTGACTCTGGTAATTAACAGACTTTCTGTTTTGCCACAGGTTGTCTTCTGAAGACTGACAACATCCTCTGATAGGTCCATTTGAAACTATGAGAGAATATGAATATTTGTACCCTGCAGGGCTTTCATGTGTTTCTGTCATGCATACTTCCACATTCTTAGGCAAGCATTACAAAAAGAGTTTCCCTGCAGGGATTCATGAGTTTTTTTTCCATCCATGTCTGATTGAATCTTCATGACTTTGCAGCCCAATGTTTCTTGTTAGTTTCGACTGGAAGTCATTATCTCATGAATGGGACATGAGGAATAAAAGAATCTCACAGAGGAATAAAGAAAATATACAACATATTTCAATTATTAGTATCAACTCTTGGCTTACGATTTTATTGTAATTTACAAAAATAAATAAACTMGATTATTAATCAAAGATGACTTTATAAGCCCACTCTTGTGGAAAAAGCCCAGTCTGTATGCCAGGATTGGTGCTGTTATGTAATCGCTACAACAAATTCATTTTTCTCAGTCTGACTGAAGATGATTGCCACAACTAGATTGTAAAAAAAACCCAAAAGTGGCTATAATTCACCCACAACATGTACTCCAAACATTACAAGCTGCACAAGATCTTTGATTAAGAAATTAAGTAATAATTGTTTGGGTCAACCTTCTCTGTCTGTATAGCAAAATATCTTATGAACCACTGGGTAGATTTTCATGAAACTTTCATAAACTAATCAATGGATTGACAACTACAGCTGATTTACTTTTTAAACCAAAACAATTAAGAATAACTGAAACAGGTCATCAACCTTGGACAACGAATCAGACTATGAATCAGTCCATTTCAGACATTGAGCTAAACTTTTTATGTAATAGTTGAGAGTCATTCACAATGCAAATAGTAACATTTTGCACAGAATCACATATGGCCTTAATTTTAAGGTGGATTAAAGCTAGTTTATTGAAAAGATATGATACTAAATAGTGATGTATCGACACAAACTGTTGTTCAAACGATGGACCTGATGATTTTCTTTCAAAGTTTGAGTGTAAAATGCTTGTATTATTTTAATTATTTGGATTTGTTCAAAAAAGGGATAGTTGTTATAAGATTTTTTTGTGTTTTTTAATGAAAATAGATTTTTCTTCTTGTTTTAACGAATGAATAAAATGAAATTAAAAAAGATTTGGCTTAATTAATCTCAATTTATTTCTAAACATAAAGGGATCTAAGACTAAAACTGCAGGATAAATGCATTCTTAAAAGATTTGCTAGACGTTTAATTTCACATACAGTAGTTTTTGCAGATTTCAAACAAAGTGAAAAGTTTATTATTAAGATTATGAGCAAAATAATATGACGCTGATTCACTGAAAAACTGTTCTAGATATTTATAAATTTTATTAAATGAAAAAAGTACTTTTCCCTAAATTCTTCACAAACATTTCTCAGTCATTYAYGATCTCTGACCAGAAAAAAAATCACCAGAACAAATTTCAAAGAAGTTTTTCTTTGATTTTACATCCTTGCCAAACCTCTGCAATTTATTAGATTACATCATGGATATCAAACTTAGATCGAGCAAATCAACTCTCTCAGAAAMCATTATTTTCTTCAGTAAGCCTCTTATCCTGTCTCTACTGATCGTATCTTTGAGCTCTTCTTTGATCTCCTGTGCTTCTTTTGCACGCATTTCCCCCTCGTACCACACAGCTCATGTTCCTGGGTGATGCCTTACACACAATTCACAAAACAAACATCAGCTTATCTTTGCTCCCATTATACATCATCTTCCCTCACCCGCCAGCTGTTGTGGAAAGCAATTTATCCTTCAGTGTGCTGTCGACTATTAAACACCTACGCAAAGATGGGACAACTGTAAACAGACATCTCCACAGGCTCTGACATCAACAGTGTCTTAACTTGTATTAAATTTTTTTTAAAATTGTTCGACAGCTGGGGGGGAAAAAATCTGTTGACAAGAAGTGTGGAATCAAATCTGACTGTGCTTGATGGTTTGATGTGCAAACAAGACATGACAGGGTGCACAAAATGGCAGGATTAATATTCCAAGTTCAACTTGTCAGGAAATAATCTTGATATCATGGTTGTGAGCAATGTTTTCAAATGACTCTATTATTCTTTCCAGCTTTAATTGTATATTACTTTCTGAATAATTTTGACCATTGATTTTACTGATGAAATGGTCATTTGTTTATTTTTTATTATTTTTTATCGACAGTGTCTTACACTATGTAAAGAGTAGCAGTGGTCCTATCAGTATATTCCATTGTTTAAGAGAAATGTCTTTCTACAGTGCATCAAAAATATATTGAAATAGTCATCCTACACAATAAAACACACATTATTACAAAAACACCTAGTAATACACTGTAGAACACCAAGGACAATTCATCTGCATGTGTGTGCTTCTGTTTGATTTTTAAATAATGTTTATGCTTTTATTTAGTTCTGATTTAAAAGTTATTTTGAAAGCTCTGCATATTCTCCATAAATTGTTTCATGCCTCGAAAGGCAACACATCCCCCCCCCCCCAAAAAAAAAAAAAAAAAAAAAAAAACACCTGCTGTTGTGGAAATAATTAAATTTTAGAAGAATAATCAAACCACCACAATCTCCATGGGAGGGTAAATGAGTAAATTTGCCTGTCTTAAATTTGGACTTGCCTAATCAAGAAGAAATGAGCAATAAATGTTTATACATTTATATATATTCGGAAAGTAGTCCTAAGGCGTCTGAGCATGCACGTTTCCTCTGACGTCATACGTATGCTCGATGTACGTGCAGCGCGTGCCCTCCTTTCTGAGCCAATCCTGKTTTAGATAAACAAATGTTGCGTCATTGTTATTGTGATTGTTGAAGCTACAGCTGCTCGCGGACGTTTCGCCACCATTTATTATTATTATTTCAAGTGCGAACCTTACCCCAAAACTATATCAAGGCAATGTCGCTTCAGAAGGACGTTTCGTCTGAAGAGAGTTTACAAGGTAAAGTTGAGACAAAAATACAAGAGGAAAAAAAAGCAGCGTTAAATAAGCTAAAGTAACCCCGTCAAAAAGGTTAAAGTGGAGGTTAACTACCTAGGTTAAATCTTAACGATACATATTACGTATTTCTAGACCTCTGTTTTAATATGACGCTACTATAAAAACGGATTTATTTGCCCAGAATCGCTAAATACTAACAAGTCTTGTTATTGTTTCGCACTTCTTTCTTATCGACACGCCATTAACGTGTGTATTTATTTTAAGGCTCCTGGGTTGAGCTGCATTTCAGAGGGAATGGCTCACAAGGTTCAAGTCATCGGGGAAGCCAGGAGCAAATCCTCACGTCCAACCCGGAGAGCGACGTGGAGAAAATGCTGCTGGAAGCACAACATGAGTCAGGCAGAAACAGCTCCAAGGGAAGCTCTCAGTGCAACAGGTTCGTTGAGTAAAGAAAAAAAAAAAAAAGAGGGAAGAACAGCACTGTCAGCATTTGTTATGTAACAGCCTGTTTTCCTGGAAAATGTAACAGCTAAAGTGTTACATGTTTTATCATCAACAGCCCACTGAGATCACAGACCCCCCTTCTTCTGTGGAGAGGCTCGGAGGGAAACAGCTCTCAGGTACACCGTGTTAAACCCACTGACCCCTATTTCAATCTGGGTTCCATTATTTAGGTGCAGTTTTCAAAATACATGGCTGACAACACTGACATGTGCAGGCAGGAAAAGGCTTAGATGTAATAATGATCATCGCATTCCACTAGGCAGAGCTCTGCTTTTATGCCCCAAGCTTACATTATGCAACCGAGCTGTCGTTGATGTCTGTAACTGCTGAAAGGTGAAGGCAGAGATGATTGTGTTTTACCTGTGTTCATGTGTGTGTCATTCTGTTTGCAAAATGTCTCATGAACTGGATGGATTTTATTGAAACTCGCCTAAATTATTGATTGGATAAAGAAAGACAACTGATTCATTTTTAGGGTCAATCCAATTCAAGATGGCTGCTAACTGAAATTTAAAAACCACAAAAAAGAGACTAAAACTCTGTCAGTTTTATAGCACTTGAGCTCAGATTTGTTGTGGTAGTAGCTGAGATTGATCCCCTGCAGATTTCCTGACCACTGACAAAATCTTGGCATCAGCTGTTGGCGTCGTCCCTGTCTGTCAGCAAAATATCTCAACACAAAAACAAATATGACTTAGTTTATTTTACAGATATTAGGTTAAGATTTGATGTAGTTAAGTCTCTCTTGACCAGTGTCATGAAGAAGGGAGGCATTCTCTCTGCTGATTTTCTGAACAGTATATATAAAAAGGTTTGACAAAAACTCCTACATCTGTCTGAGTGTAAGATGATCTTACATTAAAACTGGCACATACTAAAGCAGAGGGCGATATATGTTCCTTCAAGAAATGCTAGGCATTTAATTCTAATACCTTGTTTCTCCTACTGTAATATATGAAAACATAGACCTTGTGATATTTTACAGCACAATGTTGTAAAAGTATATGTAAGATTTTTGCCACAATGTTTTGCCTGCTCTTGAATATCCACAAAAATTATTTTTCAGTCTGATGAGGACTTCCAAGAGAGAAGACGGGAAGTGGAAAACCTCCTGAAGAAAAACGCYGACTGGATCTGGGACTGGTCCAGTCGTCCTGAGAACAGTCCACCAAAGTAAAGAGTTGTTTTTGTTAACACAGTTATTTAAATATTTAGGGCAGAAGATTTGACTATGTCAGTGGTGTGAAGCCACACTGCACCAGCAATGTACATAATTAAAATGCTTACATTATTTTCATATACGATGTTTATTTGTGATTTGTAGGCTTTGAGTGTGCGAACAGAGGTGTTAGCATGACATTAAACTGGAGCTCATTGATCTTTAATCTATTCAAAAGGAGTGAATTATTGATGTGCTCCTCTGCAGGGAGTTCCTGCTGAAGTACTCCAAGCGCTCAACCTCTCTCAGCATAAGAAACACCAGTGTCATGAAGAAGGGAGGCATTCTCTCTGCTGATTTTCTGAAGCTTTTCCTTCCCTCATTAATCATTTCTCACATACTTGCTGTTGGCTTCGGGTAAGCTACTGGATTTCATTTCTAATGCTGGGACTATTGTGGATTCTCACAAACAAATTGCACATGTGTTTACRACTGTATACAGTTAATGTACTTTTACATGAAGTATCTCTCACAGATGAAAACTGTTTCTTAGATCTTGTAAATATCTAAATAAATTGACTTTTTGTTGCTCTGTATCATCATSAATGATACAAACACAAATGATCTTGTATTCTAGTCATTTCAAATACACTGATCAGATTTTTTTTGTCTTGTTTGATTTACAATTACGTGTTTAAAATATTTTATAACTACATTATTGTATGTGTAATAGCACAGAGCACACGCAAATCACTTCTAAAACAAACCAGCTCATCTTGGTAGTGTGTAGCAAGATTAGGTGATTTAATGGGCTGATTTTGACACCTTATTTTTCTCAAGTATCTTGCATTTAAGTAAGTAAGTAAGTAAGTAAACTTTATTTCTATAGCTCCTTTCACAGACACAAACATCACAAAGTGCTTCACAGAAAGCAAAATAATTAAAAACAATAAAACAGATCACAGACATAAAAACAACAATTAAAACACAATAAAAAGCACTTAACCAAAAGCCTGTCTGAATAAAAATGTCTTAAGATGTTTCTTAAAAGAGTCAGTGGAATCTGAGCAGCGAAGGGACAGAGGGAGAGCGTTCCAGAGCCTCGGGGCCACCACCTGAAAAACTTTGTCTCCACAGGTTTTATAATGGGTTCAAGGGACCATCAGCAGCATTTGATTAGAAGACCTCAAAGTCCTGGATGGACAGAGAGGCTTCAGAAGGTCCAGTATGTATTTGGGGGCCTGACCATGAAGTGCTCTGAAAGTTAAAACTAAAATTTTAAAATGACTTCTCAAATGCACAGGGAGCCAGTGCAGAGAGGCTAAAACAGGTGTGATGTAGGCTCTCCTGTGGGTCTTTGTTAATGACCTCGCTGCAGCGTTCTGCACAGACTGAAGCCGAGTCAAGGAGGATTTGTTTAGACATGTAAAAAAGACGGTTGCAGTAATCTAAACGAGAAGAAATAAAAGCGTGAACAACCATCTCYAGYTCCTYMWGKGACACAAAAGATCTCAGCTTTGAAATGTTCCTTAAATGATAAAAACAGTTACGAACTAAANGATCTCAGCTTTGAAATGTTCCTTAAATGATAAAAACAGTTACGAACTAAAATTTTACAATGGCTGTCAAAAGACATAGAACTATCAAAGACAACACCCAGATTTCTGAGACTATTTTTCACTGAAGGRGTTAAAAAAGCAAGGTGCTGCCTGATTACAGGGATTTTATCATCAGCGGCGATATTAAGAGTTTCAGTCTTGTTTGCATTTAACTGCAGGTAGTTGTTGTTCAGCCATATTTTGACTTCTGACAGACAGTTACTGAGTTCAGATAGTTTGAAGAACTCGGGTCGAAAGAGCAGTACAACTGTATGTCATCAGCATACAGATGGTGGGACACATTACTGTAACATTTTAAAACACCTCCTAAAGGGTACAAGAGGATTGGACCCAAAACTGAACCTTGGGGTACCCCACAAGACAGCGGTGCAACATCAGAGTAAACCTGGTTCATAAAAAACAGTAAAAGACCGTTCAGATAAACAAGAGGTGAAACCAGTTTAAAACAGAGCCAGAAATACCAAAATTATCTCTCAGCYTGTTGATAAGAACAGAGTGATCCACAGTGTCAAACGCTGAAGTTAAGTCCAATAAAACCAGYACAGTGTAGTTTCCAGAGTCAGCTGCCATCAACAAGTCACTTGAAACCTTTTATAAAGCTGTTTCTGTAGAGTGTAATTTGCGAAATCYAGACWGAAAAATGTCCATAATGTCATKTTCCTCCAAACAGCAAATTTAAYAGGCAAAGATATACAAGAAAACTTTTAAAGAGAATGTTAATGACCTAATTCAGGGGTGTCAAATTTATTTTCACTGGGGGCCACTTGAGTGTTAYGGGCAGTTTTCATTAACTTTAACTTTCCTGTTTAACTTGGATTAAACATGAAACATCAGGTTTCTCATCTCGTTGCTACAGCTGAACACCGCTAACAAACAATAACTGAGCTCTATGTGGTATTTAGTGCATAGAAACAGCATTTCAACACATCCTCTTATAAACACTGAAAATACTACGTGTATGACTGATTGAGTGTGAATTAAATATTACAGAAAAACTATCAAAAGTGAAAGTAAGGGACGGGACAGACAAGTATCATTATTTCTTACCTTTAAATTTGTTTATTTTGTTGCATTGGATCATAAATCCAGTTTGCAATTGATATAAGATCTATTTT